ACAGATATCCATTTTCATTTAGAAAAGCCAACAAACATTCTGCATTGACTGAAACATATGACTGACCTTCTCTTCTGACTTTATTAAACAGCTAAATCCTATGAAAGTTCAGGTTATTTTAAAATACCAAAACAGCAATAAATATTAAGAAATCATAATTACAGAAGCACATGCTGTAGGGTTATCTTAGCATGTCATCCTATATAATAAAGCTCATGCAATATAAAGAAACACAGTTGTAATAAAGAAGGTCTGTCTGTATTGAAAATGAATCAGTTCTCATGTACTACCTGAGTAATCAGAATGCACAGGTTAAATCAAAAGTGAATTTAAATACATCTTGCCTGCTTGTATGCCTTAATGCAGTTTTTAAAGTAATGATGGTGATTGGTGAAACAATTGCTGCCTGTCAGCTACAAATAAGCACATTTGTTAAATATCTATAAAGCCTATATTATTGCAACATCCTTCATTAGAAATAATCATCAAGACAATCAACATCCCTACTGCACTCATATTTACAACAAACGACTTGGAGGCATCTCTAAGTGTTTTGCTGCATTGTTGCTCTACATATACGTTCTCAAGAGTGACCAAATGAAAGCTGAAATAGGAGGACATGCCCCTTTCTACACTGGATATTAGCAAATAAAAGACGGTTATGATAAAAAGACATCCTTCCTTACGCACATTTTTCTTTAATTTTGCTGTGCATAAAACACAGTTTCTGCCTATAGTCTGAGCTAGGTGCCATTTCATCATAAGCAGTATTCTCAAATAAGCAAACTATTTGAAAAAATACCCACTTCAAACTTTTGAAATATATTCTAGATATGGACTGCAAAGCTTTTACGAGTGTAAGAGCCATCAGACTTCTCCAGTATGAACTAAATGTATCTTAGAGATCATTTTTCATCAACATGCATCTCCTTTACTCCAAACCCATCTAATATATTGGTGCCAGCAAGGATAAATTATGTTATAGCCCTGGGGGGAGTATTTATGAAACAGTATCCTGTGCAAGGCGACCAAAATTATATTCTTGTATCTTATGAGCAGCTATAGCACCATATTTGTTTCATGCAAAAACATTGTGGTCCCATATTCTATATTCATTTTTGCCGCTTTTAAATTATATGAAAGGCTTATTTCTACTCCTGCTATGAATTCTTTAATTTGCTGTCCAAGTAATATTTCTACAGGCTTCCACAGACACCAAAAAAAAAAAAAAAAAAAAAAAAAAAAAAAAAAAAAAAAAAAAAAAAAA